GAGGGTCTCAGCATGGGAAGGCGAGGGTCTCACTGGTTTGACAGCATTGACTGGAATGACAGCCTGTCGCCCATTTCGCTTTCGTCTGGGCCATCATTTCCATGTTTGAGAGGCCTCTCACGTCGCTCGCCACCACCTTGCACCCGTACGACTCGAGCTACCCGTTACCGTTACCGTTACCCGCGTCCCGTCTTCGTCTGCATCAGATTGAATCCGTCTGCATCAAATTGAAATCAGCATCGCGAACATGACGCGCGCGACCAGCCTGCCGTTGGGTCAGACCAAGGCACAACACAGCAAAGCACGACCAGCACAGCACGGCTCACCAGCATCATCATCTTCATCCTTGGAGGACCAGGGAACGACCAGTCCAGGAGGAGCTGCTCCTCATCCCTGCACTGATCTCCGCCGGCGACGTCAACCGTCAAACATCAGGCGCCGCCAGGACCACCAGGTGAACCCCAGATTAATGACTGATCGCCAATTCAGAAACACACAGTTTGCCATCCTTCACTACCCTTTCACATCATCATCTGCTTGGGTACCCATCATTTCCCCCCCTTCCGTCTGTGTTCGTTTGCCGACAACCCCGAGTTGTGGGCCAGCCAGTCCTCCCCATCACCATCACCCTCGCAAGCCTTGCAAGTGATCATGCCACCCAAGTGCGCCGCCTCGGCGCCGCGCAACGAGCCCGAGCCAAGCGTTCATAGTGCGAATGCCCTCGCCTCTGCTGCGCGCCGTTTGCCCCTCACTGCCCCCGATTTTCTCCCTTTGTCCATTCACGCTCAGCTTCGTCCGCCGCTCAGCCATTATTATACTGCCCCTTCCGTGGGCCTCTTTTCCCCGTCCGCGCATCTGGTCGCCGATGCAAAACCTCTCCGCGATTCATACATTCGCATGAGATTCCTCAGCGGTTGTGGCGCATGTCTTTTCCATGTGTACTTCTTCTTCTGCTTCTCCCACCGGCCCGCTGCTCTGCTGGCCACTGCTGGGGCCACGCACGACACAACTACCGCAACGCAGCCTGTTGAGCATATGCAATCCGGCAGCACACCGCCCTCAAGACGCGCACCCAATGTAAGCCAACAGGGCGCAAGAGACACCATGGCGGAGAAAGCCATGTCTCAGGCGTTGTGCGTTCTGCAGTGTGTCTGTCTGCCTGCATCATCGCGGATCCCCCAGCCACAGCGCCGCCTGCCTGGTGCCTGTCTGGCTGACAGACGTGGACAAAGAAGAAGGGGTCGTGGCGGTGGTGATGATTTGTTGACGCGAAAAAGGGACCAAGCCGCCAAGGGTTCATCCAGGAAAAGGTCCGCCGGCCAAGGCCAGGCCACCACCAACAACACGGGTCCGGCCCTCTGATCTAGTGGATGATTGACCGATCGAGTGACGACAAATGACTGACAACCTGGCAACAGCCCAGAGACGAGCGGACCGTATACTCGTACGTACCATCCTACCAGATGTAACAGACATGAACAGTCAACACAATCCCGGCCCATCTATCCCGACCCGGCGATGACATGACATTGTCAGATAGGTACCCGCATGCGCATCCACTCGTGCCGTCACAACAAACGTCGATGGCCCATTCAATCTGCGATCCAACATCTTGAGTCGTCGTTTCCAACTGAGAGTCAAACCACTCACTCTCTAGTGCCAGTAGTCTTTTTTTCATGATCTTCTGGCATGCTTGCCGATTTCTCTTTGCCAGATGCACCGAAAAGCCTCATGTCCTGGACAGTTTGCACCGACCGAAAACAGCGAGCGGCCCAAGATCCCGGCAGCAATCTACATTCCAATCTCACTGTCACATCACATTCCTCTACCCCGCCATACGCACATGACCTTGTTCCTCCGCCGTGCATCGACCATACAGGTGGCGGCGGCAATCCTATCCTCAGCTATCTGCCTTTTTGGGGGGGGGGGGGATGGGGGGTAAGCGTGGCCATCCAGGCGGTCAGGACTGGCTGGCCTCGCTTCTCGTCTGAAGCCGACCCCTCCATTCCAGTTCCATCGCTCCAGTCACAGTCCGTCTTCGTATGCCCGTACCGCATCTACGTCGTCTGCTCCATATGGACAATCCTCCCACATCCCCGACGTCTCCGACGCTGGAATCTCAGCCCATGACACGACATCCTCCAGCCCATCGACGAACGAGTGGGTTGGCGCAAGAAAACGCGAGAAATCAATGCCAGAAGAGAAGAAAGCAAAAATCCCCGCAAACTAATCATCATTCCGTCCAAACTCTGTTTCACTGACTTGCGTCTACCCCTCGATCCAGGCCAAACGCGGCTGAGGCCACGAAGCCTGCCCCTCTCTCTTGCGAGCTTGCGTCTTGGAGAGGCCGCCCGGCGACACCGGCGCCGGTGCACCAGCTAATGCCTAGGCCAGGACAGCCCGCGCGGACAGGCACACACCAGAATCGACAGGAGTGCCATCGCACAGCAGACGACCGCTCGCCGAGGGGTAGCGCCGATAGGCAGAGCTAGCAGCCAGGTTTGGTCTAACGCGCTGCTCTCCCGCGGCACCGGCAGCGCCCCGGGTTGCTTGGGGGGGGTGGGTTGCTGAAGGGTCGGTCGCTGGGTGCGACGCTTGGCTGGGTATGCCTGGCGCCGCCTTCGCCATGCGGGGTGGCGGGATCTGCGGCTTGGCTTGTGATTGCTGCTTCTGA